GGGGTGTCCCCAGGGCTCAGAGATGTCCCCAGGTCACAGGGACGTCCCCAGGTCGCGGGGGTGTCCCCAGGGCTCGGGGGGTGTCCCCAGGTCGCGGGGGTGTCCCCAGGGCTCAGGGATGTCCCCAGGGCTCGAGGGGTGTCCCCAGGGCTCAAAGGATGTCCCCAGGGCTCAGGGGTGTCCCCAGGTCGCAGGGGTGTCCCCAGGTCGCGGGGGTGTCCCCAGGTCGCGGGGGTGTCCCCAGGTCGCGGGGGTGTCCCCAGGTCGCAGGGATGTCCCCAGGGCTCGGGAGGTGTCCCCAGGTCACGGGGGGTGTCCCCAGGTCGCAGGGGTGTCCCCAGGGCTCGGGGGTGTCCCCAGGTCGTGGGGGGTGTCCCCAGGGCTCAGGGATGTCCCCAGGGCTCAGGGATGTCCCCAGGGCTCAGGGGGTGTCCCCACGGCTCAGGGGTGTCCCCAGGGTGTGGGGGGTGTCCCCAGGGCTCAGGGATGTCCCCAGGGCTCAGGGGTGTCCCCAGGTCGCGAGGGGGATGTCCCCAGGTCGCAGGGGTGTCCCCAGGTCGCGGGGGTGTCCCCAGGTCGCAGGGATGTCCCCAGGGCTCAGGGGGTGTCCCCAGGGCTCAGGGGTGTCCCCAGAGCTCAGGGGTGTCCCCAGGGCTCGGGGGGTGTCCCCAGGTCGCAGGGGTGTCCCCAGGGCTCGGGGGTGTCCCCAGGGTGTGGGGGGTGTCCCCAGGGCTCAGGCGTGTCCCCAGGTCGCGGGGGTGTCCCCAGGTCGCGGGGGTGTCCCCTCACCAGGCACTGCGGGTCCTGGAATGCGAAGTGCAGGCGGGTGATCCAGCGGCGATCGCCCCGCGCCAGCACGTCCCGCTCCTCCCGGAAACACGACACCTGCCAGGGGACAGCGGGGTCACCTCCCTGTCACCCTCCCCAGGCACCGGGACACCCCCCTGTGTCACCCCTGTCCCCTCTGTGTCCCCCCCGAGCCAGCACCTCCCGCTCCTCCCGGAAACACGACACCTGCCAGGGGACAGCGGTGTCACCTCCCTGTCACCCTCCCCAGGCACCGGGACACCCCCCTGTGTCACCCCTGTCCCCTCATCCCGTGTCCCCTCATCCCGATGTCCCCCGTGTGCCAGCTCCTCCCGCCACTGCCGGGAACAGGACACGTGGCAGGGGACACGGGGACAGCGGTGTCACCCCCCCGGGCACCGGGACACCCCCTCTGCCACCCCTTGGGACCCCCCGTGCCCATATGTGTCCCCAAGTGTCCCCCTGTGTCCCCAGATGTCCCCATGCCCTCCCAGATGTCCCCATGTGTCCCCACAGGTCCCCACGTGTCCCCACATGTCCCCATGTCCCCCCACGTGTCCCAAAGTGTCCCCACACCCCCTCAGGTGTCCCCAGACCCTCTGGGTGTCCCCAAAGCCCCCCAGGTGTTCCCAAAGCCCCTAGCTGTCCCCTCACCTCCCACTTGTCCATGATCTTCACGGCAAAGATCTGCCCTGACCCCTCTGTGTCCCCACGTGCCCCAAAGTGTCCCCACGTGTCCCAATGTGTCTCCACCCTCCCCAGGTGTCCCCAGACCCTCTGGGTGTCCCCAAACTCCCCAGCTGTCCCCAAACCCCTCAGCTGTCCCCTCACCTCCCCACTTGTCCATGATCTTCATGGCAAAGATCTGCCCCGACCCCTCCGTGTCCCCACGTGCCCCAAAGTGTCCCCACGTGTCCCTATGCCCCCTCTGCTGTCCCCACACCCCCCCAGGTGTCCCCAGACCCTCTGGATATCCCCAAACCCCCTGTGTGTCCCCAAATCCTCTGGGTGTCCCCAAATCCCCCACCTATCCATGATCTTCATGGCAAAGATCTGCCCTGACCCCTCCAGTGTTCCCACGTGTCCCAAAGTGTCCCACAGTGTGTCCCAAGGTGTCCCCACACCCCCAGGTGTCCCCAGACCCTCTGGGTGTCCCCAAAGCCCCCCGGGTGTCTCCAAACCCCTCAGCTGTCCCTTCACCTCCCACTTGTCCATGATCTTCATGGCAAAGACCTCTACCCGACGCCTCCAGTGTCCCACACGTGCCCTCCACAAGTGTCCCCACACCCCCAGGTGTCCCCAGACCCTCTGGGTGTCCCCAAACCCCCCCCCGGGTGTCCCCAAACCCCCCGGATGTCCCCAAATCCCCCACCTGTCCATGATCTTCATGGCAAAGATCTGCCCTGACCCCTCCGTGTCCCCACGTGTCCCAAAGTGTCCCCACGTGTCCCTATGCCCCCTTTGCTGTCCCCACACCCCCCCGGGTGTCCCCAGACCCTCTGGATGTCCCCAAACCCCTGTGTGTCCTCCAAATCCTCTGGGTGTCCCCAAATCCCCCACCTATCCATGATCTTCATGGCAAAGATCTGCCCCGACCCCTCCAGGTTCCCACGTGTCCCAAAGTGTCCCCACGTGTCCCCAAAGTGTCCCCACACCCCCCAGGTGTCCCCAAAGCCCCCGGGTGTCCCCAAACCCCCAGCTGTCCCCAAATCCTCTGGGTGTCCCCTCACCTCCCTATTGTCCATGATCTTCATGGCAAAGATCTGCCCCGACCCCTCCGTGTCCCCACGTGTCCCAAAGTGTCCCCACGTGTCCCAAAGTGTCCCCACACCCCCCCAGGTGTCCCCAGACCCTCTGGGTGTCCCCAGACCCTCCGGGTGTCCCCAAACTCCCCAGATGTCCCCAAACCCCCCAGCTGTCCCCTCACCTCCCACTTGTCCATGATCTTCATGGCAAAGATCTGCCCGACCCCTCCGTGTCCCCACGTGCCCCAAAGTGTCCCCACCCCTCCCCAGGTCTCCCCAACAACCCCGGGTGTCCCCAAACCCCTCAGCTGTCCCCTCACCTCCTCACTTGTCCATGATCTTCATGGCAAAGATCTGCCCCGACCCCTCCAGGTTCCCACGTGTCCCAAAGTGTCCCCATGTGTCCCAAAGTGTCCCCACACCCCTCAGGTGTCCCCAGACCCTCTGGGTGTCCCCAAACCCCGGGTGTCCCCAAACCCCCCGGATGTCCCCTCACCTCCCACCTATCCATGATCTTCATGGCAAAGATCTGCCCCGACCCCTCCGTGTCCCCACGTGTCCCAAAGTGTCCCCACGTGTCCCAAAGTGTCCCACACCCCCAGGTGTCCCCAGACCCTGGGTGTCCCCAGACCCTCTGGGTGTCCTCAGACTCCCCAGGTGTCCCAAATCCCCACCTATCCATGATCTTCATGGCAAAGATCTGCCCCGACCCCTCCAGGTTCCCACGTGTCCCAAAGTGTCCCCAGTGTGTCCCAAAGTGTCCCCACGTGTCCCAAAGTGTCCCCACACCCCCCCAGGTGTCCCCAGACCCTCTGGGTGTCCCCAAACCCCCCCGGGTGTTCCCAAACCCCCCGGGTGTCCCCAAATCTCCCACCTGTCCATGATCTCCATGGCAAAGATCTGCCTCGACCCCTCCGTGTCCCCACGTGTCCCAAAGTGTCCCCACGTGCCCCAAAGTGTCCCCACCCCCCCCTCCCGGGTGTCCCCTCACCTCCCCACGCCTCAGCATGTCCCACTTGTTCATGATCTTCATGGCAAAGATCTGCCCCGTCTCCTTCAGCCGCACCACGGCCACCTGCGCTCACCCCGGGGGGGTAAATTGTCACCCCGGGAGGGTAAATTGTCACCCTCGGGGGGGTAAATTGTCACCCCGGGGGGGGGTAAATTGTCACCCTGAGGGGAAAAGTTGTCACCCTCGGGGAAAATTGTCACCCTGGGGTAAATTGTCACCCTCGGGGGAGTTTGTCACCCTGGGGAGGGAATGTCACCCTCAGGGGAGTTGTCACCCCAGGGTGGGGATTGTCACCCTCGGGGGGGAAATTGTCACCCTCGGGGGGGGTAAATTGTCACCCTCGGGGGAAATTGTCACCCTCGGGGTGGGTTTGTCACCCCAGGGTGGGGGTTGTCACCCTCGGGGGGGGGGGTTTGTCACCCCAGGTTGGGTTTGTCACCCCAAGATGGGTTTGTCACCCTCGGGGGGGGTTTGTCACCCCGGGGGGGGGTAAATTGTCACCCTCTGGGGGGGGGGTGTCACCCCAAGGTGGGTTTGTGCCCCCGTGGGGGTGTTGTCACCTCTGGGGGTGGGTTGTCCCCCCGTGGGGGTGTTGTCCCCCCCCGGGGTGGGTTTGTCACCCCAAGATGGGTTTGTCACCCCAAGGTGGTTTTGTACCTCCCGTGGGGATGTTGTCCCCCCCTAGGGTGGGTTTGTCCCCCCCTGGGGTGGGTTTGTCCCCCCGTGGGGGGTGCTGTCCCCCCCGTGGGGGTGTTGTCCCCCCCCGGGGTGGGTTTGTCACCCCAAGACAGGTTTGTCACCCCAAGATGGGTTTGTGCCCCCGTGGGGGTGTTGCTTCCCCCCTGGGGTGGGTTTTTCCCCCCCTGGGGGTGTTGTCCCCCCCTGAGGTGGGTTTGTCCCCCCTGGGGTGGGTTTGTCCCCCTGGGGTGGGTTTATCCCCCCCTGGGGGGTGTTGTCCCCCCCCTGGGGGTGCCCCCCCGGGTCCCTTTGCCCCCCCTGACCTCGCTGAAGGCTCCCCTGCCGATGACCTTGAGGATGTCGAAGTCGCGGCGCTGCAGCTGCAGCTCCCGAACCCGGCACACCAGCGGCTCGGCTGGGGGGGCACGGGGGGGTCAGGGGGAACGTCAGGGGTCAGGGGCTTTGGGGGGTCAGGGGGCTTTGGGGGGGTCAGGGGGGGCTTTGGGGGTCAGGGGGGCTTTGGGGGCAGCAATCTGGGGGCAGGACACATTTGGGGGTCAGACACATTGGGGAGTCAGAGGGCTTTGGGGGTCAGGGGCTTTGGAGGCGTCAGGGGGCTTTGGGGGGTCAGGGGTCTTTGGGGGGTCAGGGAGCTTTGGGGATGTCAGGGGGCTTTGGGGGTCAGGAGATATTTAGGGGCAGCAATGGGGGGCGGGACACATTGGGGGCCAGGACTCATTGGGGGTCAGGGGCTTTGGGGGTCAGGGGCTTTGGGGGGTCAGGGAGTCTTTAGGGGGTCAGGGGGCTTTGAGGGGTATGGGGGCTTTGGGGGGGTCAAGAGATATTTGGGGGGCAGAAATGGGGGCAGGGCACATTGGGGGTCAGGACACATTGGGGGGTCAGGGGGCTTTTGGGGGTCAGGGGGCTTTGGAGGGTCAGGGGGCTTTGGGGGTCAGGGGCTTTGGCGGTGTCAGGGGGCTTTGGGGGGTCAAGAGATATTTGGGGGCAGAAATGGGGGCAGGACACATTGGGGGTCAGGGGGCATTGGAGGGTCAGGGGGCTTTGGGGGGTCAGGGGCTTTGGGGAGGTCAGGGGGTCAGGGGACTTTGGGGGGTCAGAAGACGTTTGGGGGGCAGCAATGGGGGCAGGACACATTGGGGTGTCAGGGGACTTTGGGGGGTCAGGGAGCTTTGGGGAGGCACGAGGGAGTCAAGGGGGCTTTGGGGGTCAGGGGTCTTTGGGGGGTCAGGGGCTTTGGAAGGGGTCAGGGGCTTTGGGGGTCAGGGAGCTTTGGGGGCACTGAGGGGGTCAGGGAGCTTTGGGGGGTCAGGGGTCTTTGGGGGGTCAGGGGGCTTTGGGGGCACGAGGGGTCAGGGGGCTTTGGGGGTCAAGGAGCTTTGGAGGGGTCAGGGGGCTTTGGAGGGGTCAGGGGGCTTTGGGGGGTCAGGGGGCTTTGGAGGGTCAGGGGGCTTTGGGGGTCAGGGGGCTTTGGAGGGGTCAGGGGGCTTTGGGGGCACGAGGGGGTCAGGGGGCTTTGGGGGGTCAAGGAGCTTTGGGGGTCAGGGGCTTTGGGGGGCACGAGGGGGTCAAGGGGGCTTTGGGGGTCAGGGTACATTGGGAAGGTCAGGAGACATTTTGGGGGCACAGGGGACATTGAGGGGTCAGGGGACATTGGGGGTCAGGACACATTTGGGGGTCAGAACACATTTGGGGGTCAGGACACATTTGGGGGTCAGGGGACATTTGGGGGTCAGGACATATTGGGGGTCAGGACACATTTGGGGGTCAGGACATATTGGGGGTCAGAACATATTGGGGGAGGGCAGCACCCGGGACTTTGGGGGGTCCTGGGGGTCCCAAATGGGCGACCCGCAGGGGTTGGGGTGGGGTGGGGGTTATTGGGGCACAGAGGGGTTGCCCAGGGTGGGGGTGTTTTTTGGGGGAGGAGGGGTTCGCCGAACAGGGGGCGCTGATTTTGGGGGGTTGATTTTGGGGCGCTGATTTTGGAAGCGTTGATTGGGGGGAGGCACTGATTTTGGGGGACCCTCGGGGGTTTTGGATGGGGAGAGGGAACCCCGCGTGGAGGAGGAATTTGGCGGGGGAGGGTGGGGTCACGGAATGTCCCGGAGGAATTTGGGGGGATCCCAGGAGGAGGGGAGTGAAGTGGGGAGGGGCTGAGGGTTCGGGATAGTGGGGAAAGGGAGGAAGGTGTAGAGTGGGGGAGGGAATGGGGGGTGTGACAGTCCCGTGGGGGGGTTGACACCCTGGGTGCCGCGCGTGGGGTGGGGGTGGCCGATCACCCGCAGCCCTTTATGGCCGCGCAGCTCAGAGCACGCGGGGGTGGAAAGGAGAGGGGGCCGGGCCGGGCCCGTCATTGCCCAGAAAAGGGTGGAGATCACAGCCCCCGTCCCCCACCTCGATCCTTTTCCCCCAAGGAAACCCCTGTGCCCCCCAAAAACGACCCCGGCGGTCGGACCCCAGGAGACCCCGACCAATGAGACCCCCTGCGCCCCAAAATGACCCTGCCGGTCGGACCCCCTCCCAGGAGAATTCTGTGAAAGGGACCCCTCTGACCCCCAAAATGGTCCCGCTGGTGGGACCCCCACCCAGGAGACCCCGACCAATGAGACCCCCTTGTGCCCCCAAAATGGTCCCCCTCTCCAAGGAATACCTTTTGACCCCCCTAAAATGACCCCCGGCTGTCGGACCCTCCCCAGGAGAACCCTGTGAAAGGGACCCCTCTGCCCCCAAAATGGCCCCCTCTCCAGGATTACCCTTTGCCCCCAAAAATGGCCGCGGCCACCGGACCCCCCTCGTCGTCCCCGTCCCGTCCCCTCCCTTCCCCCAAATAACCCCTCCCCAGCGTTTGGGGACGTGTAGACCCCCGCCCCCAAAAAAACCCTCCCTCACTCCGGGGTCTCGCGTGACCCCAGGACTCCCCAGTCCAAAGCCCCTGTCCTGCTCCCCAGACCCCACCCCCAAAATCCCGTCCTGGATGTACCAGTCCGAGACCCCCAATCCTGCGACCCCTCCCCAACCTCGGACTCCCCCAATCCCAGACCCCCAGTCCTGAGCCCCCAGGCCCGGACCCCCAATCCTGGAACCCCCCAGTCCTGAGCCCCCAGGCCCGGACCCCCAATCTTGGAACCCCCAGTCCTGAGCCCCCCAGGCCCGGACCCCCAATCCTACGACCCCCCTCCTCACCCCACGTCTGGACCCCCAAGCCCAGAGCCCCCAGTTTTAGAGCCCCCAAGGCCCGGACACCCCAATCCTGGACCCTCCAATCCTGAGACCCCCAATCCTGAGACCCCCCAGTCCCGGATCCCCCAGTCCTGAGAGCCCCCAGTCCCGGACCCCCAATCCTGAAGCCCCCCAATACCGGACACCCCAATCCTGAAAGCCCCCAGTCCTGAGCCCCCCAATCCCGGACACCCCAATTCTGGAGCTCCCCCAGGCCCGGACCCCTCAATCCCAAAGCCCCCTAGTCCTGAATCCCCAGTCCTGAGGAGCGCCCCCAGTCCCGGAGGCCCACCCAGGCCCGAGCCCAGACACCCCAATACCGAGCACCCCCAATCCCAGAGTCCCCCAGGCCTGATGTCCCCCAGTCCAGGACCCCCAAATCCCCTCAGTCCCACCCTCCCCGTCCCGGATCCCCCTGTCCCGGATCCCCTGTCCCGGACCCCACTGTTCTGAATTTCCCCCTGTCCCGGACCCCCACCCCGTCTCTGGGACCCCCTGTCCCGGACCCCTCAGTCCTGGACCCCCTGTCCTGAGCCCCCTCTCTCTGGGACCCCCAATCCCGTCCCCCTCTCCGAGACTCCCCCTGTCCAGGACCCCCAGTCCCGTCCCCCTCTCTGTGGGACCCCCAATCCCGTCCCTATCCCCATCTCCGAGACCCCCTGTCCGGGACCCCCGTCCCTCCCCCTCTCCGGGACCCCCAATCCCGTCCCCCTCTCGAGACACCCCCCTTCCCTATCCCCATCTCCGAGACCCCCTGTCCAGGACCCCCTTGTCCCGTCCCCTCTCTGTGGGACCCCCAATCCCGTCCCCATCTCCGAGACCCCCTGTCCGGGACCCCCAGTCCCGTCCCCCTCTTTGCAGGACCCCCAATCCGTCCCCCTCTCCGAGACCCCCCTCCGTCCCTATCCCCATCTCCGAGACCCCCCTGTCCGGGACCCCCAGTCCCTCCCCCTCTCTCCGGGACCCCCAATCCCGTCCCCACCAGTGCCGGGACCTCCAACCCCTGTCCTCCCCTCTCCCGTCCCCCTCTCCGGAGACCCCCTGCCCAGGACCCCCAGTCCCGTCCCCCTCTCTCCAGGGACCCCAATCCCGTCCCACCCTCTCCGAGACCCCCCTGTCCGGGACCTCCCTGTCCCTCCCCCTCTCTCCGGGACCCCCAATCCGTCCCCCTCTCCTAGACCCCCTCCCCCGTCCCTATCCCCATCTCCGAGACCCCCTGTCCAGGACCCCCTGTCCGTCCCCTCTCTGCTGGGACCCCCAATCCCGTCCCTATCCCCCTCTCCGAGACCCCCCTCTCCAGAGACCCCCTGTCCAGGACCCCAATCCTGTCCCCCCTCTCCGAGACCCCCCTGTCCAGGACCCCCCGTCCCTCCCCTCTCTCCGGGACCCCCAGTCTGGTCCCCCGCCAGTGCCAGGACCTCCAACCCCGTCCTCCCCTCTCCCGTCCCCCCGTTTCGAGACCCCCTGTCCGGGACCCCCAATCCCGTCCCCCTCTCTGTGGGACCCCCAATCCCGTCCCCCCTCCGAGACTCCCCCTGTCCGGGACTCCCCAGTCCCGTCCCCTCCTGCGGGACCCCAATCCCGTCCCCCTCTCCGAGACCCCCTGTCCGGGACCCCCAATCCCGTCCCCTCCCTGCAGGACCCCCAATCCCGTCCCCCTCTCCGAGACCCCCTGTCCGGGACCCCCAATCCCGTCCCCTCTCTCCGGGACCCCCAATCCCGTCCCCTCTCCTGCAGGACCCCCAATCCCGTCCCCCTCTCTCCGGGACCCCCAATCCCGTCCCCCTCTCTCCGGGACCCTCAATCCCGTCCCCCTCTCTCCAGGACCCCCAATCCCGTCCCCTCTCTCCGGGACCCCCAATCCCGTCCCCTTCTATCCGGGACCCTCAATCCCGTCCCCTCTCTGCAGGACCCCAATCCCGTCCCCCTCTCTCCGGGACCCCCAATCCGTCCCCCTCTCTGCAGGACCCCCAATCCCGTCCCCCTCTCCGGTTCCCCCTTCTCCAGGACTCCCCCTGTCCCTCCCCTTTTCTCCAGGACCCCCTGTCCCTCCCCACCCCTCTGCAGGACCCCCAATCCCCTCCCCTCCTCTCACCCCAGTTTAGAAAGTCGCGGACGTATCTGTCGCTGTCGCTGTCGCTGTCACTGTCGCTGCTGTCGCCTCTGTCGCCTCTGTCACCACTGTGGTTGTCGCCGCCGTGGCCGGCGGGTGTCGCGGGGGGGTCCCGGCGGCTCAGGCGGTGCCGGAGCCCCCCCGCCAGCCCCAGCAGGAGGTCCAGGAGGGTCTCGAGCCCCAGGGACCCCCGGCCCAGCGCCAGCGCCCGCAGCCGCTCCCGCCGCCCCGGCGGAGCCGCCATGGCCCGGCCCGGCCACGGCCACGGCCACGGCCACGGACCCGGCCACGGCCACGGCCACGGCCACGGGCACGGCCCGAGGCGGGCGGGGAGCGGGGGGGCACCGGGCACGGGGCCGGGCCAGTCACGGAACCTCCCACACCCACTCCTGACACCACCCGGGACACCGGGCACGGGGCCGGGCCACCAATGGAACCTCCCACACCCACTCCTGACACCACCCGGGACACCGGGCACGGGGCCGGGCCACCAATGGAACCACCCACACCCACTCCTGACACTGCCCGGGCTACCGGGCACGGGGCAGGGCCAGTCAGGGAACCTCCCACACCCACTCCTGACACCGCCCGGGACACCAATGGAACCACCCACACCCACTCCTGACACCGCCCGGGACACCGATGGAACCACCCACACCCACTCCTGACACTGCCCGGGACACCGGGCACGGGGCCGGGCCAGTCACGGCACCTCCCACACCCACTCCTGACACTGCCCGGGACACCGATGGAACCACCCACACCCACTCCTGACACCGCCCGGGACACCGGGGGCAGGGTCACCAATGGAACCACCCACACCCACTCCTGACACCGCCCGGGACACCAACGGCACCTCCCACACCCACACCCACTCCTGACACCGCCCGGGACACCGGGCACGGGGCTGGGCCACCAATGGAACCTCCCACACCCACTCCTGACACCGCCCGGGGCACCGATGGAACCACCCACACCCACTCCTGACACCGCCCGGGACCCGGGCCAGTCACGGCACCTCCCACACCCACTCCTGACACCGCCCGGGCCACCGATGGAACCACCCACCTCCCCACCCACACCCACTCCTGACACCGCCCGGGCCACCGGGGGCAGGGTCACCAATGGGACCACCCACACCCACTTCTGACAAGCCGGGGAGGGTGTCCCGGGACAGCGGCCACGGGGTCGGGTCAGTCACGGCACCTCCCACCCCGACCCACACCCACTCACACCCACTCCTGACACCCTCTGGGCCAGTCAGAGTACCTCCCACACCCACACCCACTCCTGACACCCCTAGGCCAGTCAGGGCACCTCCCACCACCCACTCCCACTCCTGACACCCTCTAGGCCAGTCAGGGCACCTCCCACCCACTCCCACTCCTGACACCCTCTAGGCCAGTCACGGCACCTCCCACACCCACACCCACTCCTGACACCGCCTGGGGGTCCCGAGTCTCCCCACCCACCACTCCCACTCCTGACACCGCCTGGGAGGTCCCGAGGTCTCCCCACCCACCCCACCCACCCCACCCCCAACACCGCGTGTTTTTCGGGGGTGTCTTTATTGATTGGGGGGTTTTGGAAGCAGGTTGGGTGTGGGGAGGAGAGGTCTGACCCCCACCCCCAGGCACAGCGGGGGTCATGCGGAGGTCTGGGGGGTTCCTTGGGGGTCCCAGGGGTCTCGAGGGGTCCGAGGGTCTCCTCAGGAGTACATGGTGAGCTGGAGCCACTGGGGGGGACACAGGAGTCAGAGGGGGGTCCTGGAGGGTTTGGGGTCACCTCAGGGGATTTAGGGGCTCCTGGAGGGATCTGGGGATTTAGGGGTCCCTGGGGGGTTGGGGTCACCTCAGGGATCTGGGGGATTTGGGGGGTCCCTGGAGGGTTTGGG